ATATTTTATGTAGACAATATTTCCTTCTTAATGTAGTTCTGTTGCATACTTTATACAGACAAAAGCATTGTAAAAAAAAAAAAGTAAATTACTTCCATAAATATTTTCTTGAGGATACATCCTTAGTTCTGCAAAATACTTAAGAAAACTCTTACCTCTGTTAGTATCCTAGTTGAGAGGAAGGCCCTTCTGAAAGCTTCCAAATTGTAAAAACTTTTCCCCAAAAACAAACAATACTTTTTTAAAAAGGCCCTCAAATATATACAAAAAAAGTTACTGCAAAGAGTTTCCAGATAAGATAACAATTCAGTATTACAAGAAATATTTGTAACCATTCAAAAATTTTAACATCTAAAAAGGTTTCCAAAATACACACATAGTATTAAAAAAAATTGAAAGAAACTCTATGTCAAGTATAACTCAAGATAAATACACATCTGCAAGTAAAACTGTAAAATACTTCATACAGGGGTAAACATTTATATCAATCATCTATAGCTAGTAACTGCACACGATTGTCCCTTTGAAATTCATCCTAGAAACACAAACCATCATCCCTATATCTAAGATCTCAAACAGCCCTCGGAGCACTTCAGCAATATAACAAACTGAATGGACAGCAGTGGTTTTGCAGGTAGGAGAGAGATACGGGTTGAAGCCCTATTGGGAGTGGAGTGATATCTTAAAGAATGATTTTTTTTGTATGGGGATAGTTCCATCACATATTTTAAAATATGTTGGCAAAGGCAAGTGGAAAATGTATGCCAATTCACTTAACTTGAAAAACACATGTTGATGATTTATTGCATACTGTTCAGTGAACAACTCCTAGGATCCGTACTAGGAAAAAAAATTATTCTATGTGACTGCAGGACAAAGAGAACTAATCTATGAAGTCTGACATCTCTGAAAGCTCTTAACTTTTAAAGTTTTAAGTAGTTTTATTTTCGGAATAAATGCTAGAGCATCACAGGTATGCAACCCATGTATAATCTAAAATTCACGTTATACAAAAAGGTAAAATGTCGAGACTGCTTCTTGGCATAAGGCTTCTCTTGGACATATGTAACTTCACATTTTTAGTATACAAACTAAGTCCCATATAATGGGGAACTTCAAAATACACCTATTTTCAGAAATAATATATACTCTTGTGTATTTATCTGAAATTAAAAAGCAACTTTGAGACAAAAAGGCCTCAAACTTTGCTTGTGTGGCATCATATTACGTCCATGGTAGCAGCAGTAGAAACTGGCTAAAATGGGGCCATCCTTTAAACTACAGGGTTTTTTCTTCATCACCATTAAATGAAGTATTTGTAACAACTTCACTGGAGCCGCATCAAGTTAAAGCAGCTAAAAACCTACACCACACATTTCAAATATCTGATACTTTTCTCCAGAGCAGTGCCAATGCCAAGGACAAATTATGTGTGAAATGTTCTGACCGACCAAGGAAATAAATTGTGTTTAGAGCGGGTGTGTGTGTGTTTTGTTTTTTTTAAGAAATAAAGGAAAGCTTAGGAATCTCCAAAGAGGGAGGGAAAACGGGGAAAAAAAAAAAGTGTGTGCTGGGTGGATTGGTAGGCAGGCAACAGCAAGCATCTGAGGTTAAAAATCCAGCTTGCCAAACAAATGCACAGAGCCAAATTTCTCTCAGGTACACCCCTAAAGAATGCTCAATTTGGAGAGGCCTGTATTAATTTAAAACTCTTTTTAATGATGCTTGCTTCACTTCTGGTAAGACTATCTAAAAATCCCTTCAAGGATTGCTAGCTGACGTTCTAAATGCAGAGCTGCTGCAAGAGAACATCAGAAAGCATTCAAAAAAATCTAGGTGGTAAATCAACTCATACTCTTGCTAGTCAAAAATCTGGATTTTTTTTTTTAAGGTTTTTCTGATCTGGAAAGAGTTAGTTAGGTCTATAGGTGAACTACCTTTTTGAGGTGGGGGGGGGGGGGGGGGGAA